TGTTGAGCACCTGCTATTTGATAGGAACAGCTTGTTGTGCCATCGTTCAGGAAAGATGAGGCAAGTGAGGGGTAAGTGCCCTGGAGGAGAGACAGCTGATTCCTGGACACCATTCCTGTGCATCCCACATGTTTACATTCTGCAGTTGAAAAGGGGTCTGAAAAGCAACCTGCTCACTAGTAAGAGTGATTTTAGAATTTACTAATGAACATGATATTTTCCGGTACAGAAGATGGGAGAAATCACTGTTTCCGAGTTCTGTCTAGACTTGGGATTGTGAAACCACGTCCAATTTACCAAACTTTCTAGCAAAATTACATATTGAATCAGAAACAGACATCATTAGCTTTATTTCTCTCTTCTGCAGTGATCCCGAGACTTACAGGTGTAGTTGGAAGTTTTCCTGTGTCCCAGCCGGCTGGCAGTTGGGACAAATCTCTCCCATCTACATCCCTCAGCCCCTTGGTCCCAAGTAAACACACAGAGGCCACATTCTTACCTCTATGAAATCCTCAGCCTCAAGAGAGCAGCTTCCTGTTTACTCATGCCTTATATACCTTTCTGTGCCCTGCCATCTTCCTTCTTTCCTAGTGCTGGGATTAAAGGAGTGTGCTACCACTGCCTGACTTCTATGTTTAATATAGTGGCTGGCTTTGTCCTCTGGTTCCCAGGCAAGAAATATATCACCACACAAACGTTATATTAAAATGTAAAAAACAAAAATGTTAATTCTATATTTTTACTGATATTTCATTAGCATAGGTATTACTGAATTGGGCACTAAGATGCCAATTAAAAGATGAAAAGCCCATTATATATTAGGGAAACAATTCATTAAATTTCCTAGAAGTTGGGGCTGGAGAGATGGCTTAATGGTTAAGAGCACTTGCTGTTCTTTCTGAGGACCCAAGTTCAAATTCCAGCACCCATGCTGGTAGTTTGGCTCACAACTGCCTGTGACTCTAGCTCTATGGGGTCCGATGCATTCTTCTGACCCTCTGAGTACTTCCCTGCAAGTGGTGCACTCACACACTAATGAGGACTTTTAAAAGATAAATCTTTAACATTTTAAAATTCCCTAGAAGTCAAATCTATAGGAGGGTTAAAATTTGTTCTTTAAAATCCCCATCCGTCACCGGGATGTGCTGAGCTGCGCTCCAATTAATCGGGAACAGTGTTTAATCAGTACATTGCTCAGGATAAATAAGCAGAAACTGCTGGCAGGTTGTTTATTAAGCCAGAATCACACTCTAGTCCTCTGTCCTAAAACTTAACTGTGTAAACAGGATAGCCTTGCTTTCACAGCGGTGCTCCTGCCTCAGCCTTTCCAGCGCCGGGATTACAGGCTTGTGCCTCCATGCCCAGCATGGTTTCTCAGATTTTCCCCCAAGTCAAGCAATTTGTAGTGTTTTCCTTTTATGCAGATTTCAGTTCATAGAAAAAGAGTTCAGTGACCCGAGGACCACATTTAATGATTTCGTGGACACCTAGTCAACAAAACCTAGACATTGGGAACTTATATGAAGCTATACTGGTGTGTAGGTCTGGCCATGACTACTTCCGGTTTTCTTCTCTCTGCTTCACTTGCAGCTGAGGCTACGACCTCTCAGCCTCCGGCCCCAGCCCCTGCGCTGCCTCCTGCTGCGGTGTCTCCCACCAGGGTGGATTCTTATCCTTCCAGAACCATAAGAACAAACTCTTTCTTCCCTAAGTTGTTTTATCACAACAATAGAAAAGTTATTAGTAATTAATACACAATTTTTCTTCAATAATAAAATTTCAGAGAAAGGGGGGGAGAAAGGGGGGAGAAAGGGGGGGAGAAAGGGGGGAGAAAGGGGGGGAGAAAGGGGGGGAGAAGGGGGGAGAAAGGGGGGAATTATACTTCTGAAAAACAACTTCAAAATATTTAATATCTCCTTATTTCTCTACACCAGAGAGTAGTTTCTGCTTCGTGGAATTTGTCTGGCTCCCTCAACTCTTCAGTAGAATATCAATTACTTCTCACATTTGTTTCTTTAAAACATACAGACAGAGAGACATGCATACAAACAGTTACACATGTGTGTGTTTCTGCTATTAAAACATACCCCTCTTATGCTGGCATTTTTATCATAGAAGCAAAGTTGTAAAATCTTCTCCTGTGTGCCCCGCACTGATCTAAACATTATGCATGTATTTAATCATGATTTTATAAGCAGGTACTATTATTCCTAAAATACAAATGAAAAAGTGAAAACATACACTTCAGATAGCTTGTTCAATGTCACAGAGATACTAGTCTACTGTAGCAGAGCTCAGAATTCAGATATCTCTGAAATCAGAGTCCATGCCAGGCACATACACAAAACTAGCAGTATCCAGCTTCATTTTTTTCCTTCAGACATTACCAAGCAGAATAATAGACAATAAACAGCCTATAGAGACCTTGCCACATGAATGCTGGCACAGATAATTTTGTTAATGGTCTAACTGGAATCTGAGTGTTGCTTCAATGGTGCTTTTAGGTAGAATTTTAATATTTTAATTGTTAGAATAAGGCAGGTTGCACTGTACAATGTGGATAAGCCTTGTCCAATAAGTGTGAGGCTCAAATAGAAGAGAAAGACCTTGCAACAGGAAAAGGAAATTCTCCAGTAGCCTGCCTTTGGACTTTACCTTATCACCTTTCTCTTTGCTGACTAGTTCATACTATATATAGACTTGTACTTATCAGTCTCAACAATCACGTAAGCCAGTTCCTTATAATAAATTTCTTTGGCTAACTGATAGACAAACAGTAGATGATAGGTAGATATACAGATGATAGATAATGGTTGATGGATAGATAATAAATGATAGGAGATAGAGAGATGATATGTACATTCCATTAACTGTTCTCTGGAGAATTCCAAATAATATGAATTGATTTCAAGATACAGATTTCAAGTAGAAAGAAGGAATATTCAAAATACCACTGAACTTTACAACACTGACAGACATTTTACATGAGTGTGGTCTTTTTCTCCGTGAATCATATTCCTAAAATAACATGCTTCTAAATCATGGGCAGATGATTCGACCTGCTATATTTTTGTCTTGAAGAAAAGATCAAAAGAAACAGATTTTAACATCACCATAACCAGCTTCTTCTGTGTCATTCCATTGGAAATGGAGACTGCTCTTGTACGCATTTATGGGATAGAATTAATTACTTTATTTCTTCAAAGCACGTAGGCTCTCACTCTAAGAAACTTTGTTGGGAGCCAGACAAGTTAAAACCAGTATCCGATGCATTCGAGGCACACCCCAAGTTTAAAAGGCACAAAGCATTGATGTCTAACTCTACAGAAGAATAAGGAAGAGGAGGACTTCCCATAAGGCAGGATGCATATTGGATCAGCACGAAAGGAATCTATCCTCCTTTTTTTTCCTGTTGCTTACTCTTCTCTCTCTGCTTTCAGAATTAATAATGATTTTAACTTAATACCCACAAGAAACTCGTGTGTTCCCAGGCAATTTCACATTTCCCTTCTCTCTACAGAGTCCTGGAAGGGTCATCAAGTAACAGCATGAATGGCCCAAATGCAGTTGCACCCTGTGCTCTTAGGAAGTCCAGATTACTAATGTGTCTTTAATTCCAGTAGCAAACTTGAAGACAAAGAACAATTTACCTCTCCATTGGATTTCCACTCTCTAATGTAATCGTGGACCATGAAATTGTAGCAAACTCTCCTACTTTCCTCTTCACTGGATTAGTTTTCCTTGTGAGCCTTCCCTGGGAAGTCACATTTAAAACTTGTTCTTCATTGACACTAATGAAATTAGTTGACGTTGTACAGCCCCCTTCTATTTGATCAATCAAAAACAAATTTAATTACTTCAGTGTATACAAGAACTAGTGTACTTAAACTGGACTTCAAGGGTCAATTCTGATTTTCATGAAAGGCTTTCTGTCCCTAGTTCTTTTTCTTTCTATCACAGAATGACTTTCTGGATGACAACACTAGGAAAGCAGGTATTTTGAGCCAAGATAGGTATGTGACTAATTGGCCAGGGCTGTACAGACAACAGTGTAGTCCTGTTATACTGTTGAGTGGCGTATAAGAACAGTATAATGTAGTGTCTTACTGTTCGGAAGGTATAACAGCTTGAGGATTGGACAGGCGCCATGCGGCCAAGTTTTATATGGGGGTCAGTAGCCAAGGGGGATCTGATTTGGAGAGACAAAGGTGCACAGTTCCTAGTTGGGGGTATTTTAGGGACTATATTGTAAACAGAGATGTGTTTTGAAGGAAGACATACCATATTGAGAACCTGGAAAGAAAGCCAGCCAGGAGACAGTGAGGCCCCACAAGGTTGCTGAGGTTGAGTGGGATTCCAGTATCCCAAAGGTATGACCAGGCAGCCAAGGCAGACTGCGAAACTGGTCAGTTTCAGTGATGCTCAATAGACTAGTGGCTCCTTGGTGCTTACCTGGGTATTTGGGCTTGCTTTTCATCAGAAGGTGTTAGAGGAGCAGATACTCCTCACTCGTGACAGAGAAGCAGGTAAGCGCTCGCTGGCAAAGGGCAAAGCTTCCAGCCAATTGTGATATAATTCACAGGCAGAGGTCAGAGCTGGTAAGAACTGGAGACCAAGGAGGGAAGCACAAGGAGCAACGATCTGTGGGAGGCACTGTTAATATATTCTATACTCCCCTGTAATGGTTCCACTGGTTTCTTGTCCAGAATTCAGTCACACAGTCATGACCATCTTCAAGAAAGGCTGAGAAACATTACCCAGATAAAAATAGAAGTTCTGGGGTTGGAGAGATGGCTCACAGATGTCAGGTGAAATCTCAAAGTAGTTTTGATTTGCATTTTCCTGGTGGCTAAGAATGTTGAACATTTCCTTAAGTGCTTCTCAGCTGTTTGTGTTTCCTCTTTTGAGAATACTCTGTTTAGATCTGCACCAGATTTTCAATTTGGGTTATTTGCTTTCTTGATGTCCAGTTTTTTTTTAAGTTCTTTATATATTTTAGAAAAAATGCGGAGTGGTTCATGAATTTGCACGTCTGTTTGGCACAGGGGCCATGCTAATCCTCTTTGTATCGTTCCAATTTTAGTATATGTGCTGCTGAAGTGAGCACTAATTTATTTTTATTTTGAATACAAATTATTCTAAGAAAGAGGAGATCTCATTCAGGGTCAGCTAACACTTTCCTTCAGAATCCTCATATTCCCTGTAAAAACACTTACTGTCTTAAAAAAAAAAAAAAAAACTCTGCTAGATGTGGCAGTGCGTGTTTGTAATCCCAGCAATTGAGTACTTGGGGAGACCAAAGGTCACACTCTGCCAGAAACAAAGACCTTCACGTCACAGTCAGAACACAAGGGACTCATAATAATGAAAATGAGGCAGTTTGGTTTAAAGCTTGGCAAAGAACAACTTTTGCAGTTCTGAACACAGGTCCTCTCTCTACTTCCTCATTGGCTGAGTAATCAGGAGGGTTCAGCCTCACATGCCACAAGGTCTTATCTCTCTGCCTGCCTAGGTTTATCTTTTTCTTAAAAACAAACAAAGCAAAACAAAACCTGTGAGTAGGTTCATCTCTACACTTTCTACACTGTTTGCTTTAAATCTTACCAGACACTTAACCTCCTGGTTAGAGTCAGCTGTTGTCCCCAAGTCTGTGGGTCTGTCGATGTTCCCCATCCACAGTGTCTACCTTGAGTATCAGCTTTGGAATTTCCTGGAGGAGCTAGAACACCTGATTCTCAGTTTCATCTTGCATTTCTTAGAAATAAAACTAATTTCTCAGAGTTATTTTCTGGACAAATAAAGTTTTAAAAAGAGGATGCATTTGTGTCTGCATTTCTAGGCATATAGCAGACTTTCTTTAAACCGTTGGCTAATTTTCCTCTTTATTAATTACCCTCTGTCCATTTCATTGCTTTTGTATCTGTTTTGTTTGGTCTTTTCAGACACAGCCTCACTGTGTAGTCAAGACTGGGTTCAAACTTAAGATTATTCTGCTTTACCCTCCTGACTTCTTGGCCATGACGTTTTGGCAATGACGACAGGTACCCACCACCACACCCAGATTTCCATGTTCATTTTAAAAAAGATTTTATTTAAATTGTTTATTGTGTGTATGTCTCCATGGGTCTGTGGACATGAGTGCAGGTGCCCATGGAGAGCAGAAGAGGGTGTTAGCTTTTCTGAACGTACGGGGTGTTGTGAGCCACCAGACGTGGGGGCTGGGAAGTGAATCAGGTTCCCTGAGTAAGTACTCACCCTAACCACTTCATCCCCTCCATATTCTTGTACCTTTAAAACCATACTTGTCAATGTGTGGTGTCACACAAGCTACACAAAGAAGGCAAATCTTAAGCCCTAATCGAGAGTCACCGAAAATTCTCTCCTTGTCCTAAACCAATATTCATTTGATAATTTTAAAAATGAAATTTAAGTCAGCAACTAAAATGGCTGTTTAAAAAAATCATTCTAACAATATAATACAGAGACAGACCAGTTTAATACTTACATTGAAGAATGAAATAAGGAAATAGGAAAGTCTAGACGTTTTCTGCAGTTGAGACATTAGTTTTCCACAGGAGCAGAAAACTTGGCATGGACATTAAGAGACAGTCTACATCACAACATTTGATAGTTTTAAATCTGAGCTGAGGTATCAGGCAGGATACACTGGCATGGCTTAGCATGATGCTTCAGATGGGAAAATGTATGTGTTCAGGATCAAGTCTGCAGTGGAACTGAGAAGCAGCTGTTGAGCACAGCCAGAAGTGCCTCGGGTTCATTGCATTTGACTTGAATTAAGTTGTGATGATTGATCAGTCAGAAGTCTTTTACTCTTGCCAAGCTTCCAATGACCACGAAGATCCACAATTTGGTCAGGGTGGATGAGCTGGCTCAGTGGGTAAGGGCACACTGGAGGCCATATCTGAAGCCCGATGGTGGAAGCAGAGAACTGACTCCTGTTATGGCTATTCTTGGTTGTCAATTTGACTACATCTGAACTTAACTAAAACACAAATGGCTGGGCACACCTGTGGGGGATTTTTTTCTTGATTAAAGCATTTGAAGTGGGAAGACCCACTTCTAATCCAGTTCTTTGAGGTGGAAAGATATGCCTTTAATCTAGACCACATCTTCTGCTGGCAGCCCATACAAATGGAAGAAGGAAGTTTGCTCTTGATCTGGCTAGCAAGTTCATTCCTTCACTGGCACTAGAGCCCACTTCCAGCATATAGTGAAGACCAGCTGAGACATCCTACCTCATGGACTGCACAACTACTGGATTCTTGGACCTTCCATTCATGGGCAGCCATTGTTGGATTATCTGGACCATAGCTTGTATGCCACACTCTTTATTTCCTGGATCTTGCTCTGTAGACCAGACTGTCATCAAACTTACAGAGATCCACCGAGTCACTTTGCCTCCAAAGTGCTGGGATTAGAGATGTGCGCCACCACTGCCTGGCACCAAACTTTTTCTATATATAGAGATACACTCTTTACGTTCTGTTCTTCTAGAGAACCCAGACTAATATAACTCCCATCAAAGTTTTCCTCTGACCTCCACACACATACCATGGCACATGCATACATATACACATATAATAAACTATGGTGATATATTGTATACCCCAATAAAGCTTGCCTGGGGATCAGAGGACAAAGCCAACCACTATATTAAACATAGAGATCAGGCAATGGTAGCATTCACCTTTAATCCTAGCATTCGGGAGGCAGAGATTCATCTAGATCTCTGTGAGTTTGAGGCCATACTGGGAACAGAGCTAGACATGGTGGTACGTGCCTTTAGTCCCTGCACTAGGAAGGAAGGAAGATGGCAGGGTACAGAAAGGTATACGAGACATGCGTAAACAGGAAGTATCTCTCTTGAGACAGGATTTTGTAGAAGTAAGAATTTTTGGAATTCAACAGTTTAATTCATTTCTTTTATTCTTGCTTTCCTCTTCTCTGTGTGCAGGTGTATATGTTTTTTTTGTGTGTGTACATGGATATGTGGAGGTTGGAAAACAACTTGGGGGAGTTGGTTCTCTCCTTCCACCATGTGGGTTCTGAGGATGGCACTAAGACTACAAGTAAGATGATCAGGTTTGGCAGCAAGCACCTTTACCCAGTGAGCTGTCTTGCTGCCCTCCCTCCCTCTGCACCAGAGCTCAGACCTGGAGTTATAGGTCTAAAAGCAAGCCCACCTGTTCTACTACAAATGAGTCCAAAGCATTCATTAGAAACCAATAGGAGCCAAGATGTATTGAGTGCCTATTATACAACAACAAAGTGTGTATACCATTTCTTATCCTTATTTAAAAAAAAAACACCAGGTGATTTAATGATAATTAACCCTTAAGCATTCTTTATAGTTACTGCAACTAAGATTTGGTACACACCAGTAGGGACATAATGATTGACACATAGTAACAGCCAATAAATAATAATTTCTTATCTTATAATCAGTAGAATTTTGGAGGACTTTGAATCAACTCTACTGTTCTACTTCTGTCTTTTCCCCCTTTCAGCTTCATATAATCAACTGAAGGAAATTTTTTTAGCTCCTGGTGAAACTACTTTTCCAGCTTAGTATTAGTCATAAAATTTGGTCCTTATAGCCATTCAAAAGAATCCTAAGGGATTAAAAATAGAGGACTTCATTTTTTTTCCAAAGCTTCAGACTATTCTGAACCATGCCTTTAAAATTATTATTATTATTATTATTATTATTATTATTATTATAATTATTAGTATTACTATTACAGTTTTGAGGTCTGCTTCTTCAGGGGAAGAAGCATTATTTCACATAAGAAGAATGGCCCCTGAAAACTGAGTTTTATATCTAGTTGAAGGCCACAAAAATGCAGCTCTAGGTTTCACATATTAAAGTTTATTTTGCAGTCACTGCAACTTAGCTCAGCTAAAGGGAAGGGAAAGAGTGAAGTCCCTGGCTGATTAGAGGTACCCTCCCCTGAGATCTAGTATATGAAAGCATCTGTTTGGGGGACATCATTCAGTAAACAGACATTTGAGGTTTGCACCTTGCCATTTAGGATGAGCCTCTGTAACTCAGACCCTTTAAGCACTGGCTTTGCCATTCTGGTCAGCCTCCTTGGCTTGCACTTCTCTGCACCGGGATGCAGTAATGGAACCAGTCTCAGTGGTTCTAGAACTTAGCAGCAGAGGCTGGTACCTGCTGACAGACAGTCCTGTTCTGTCAGGAAGGGGAGATGGGAAGAATCTTGCATTTGTCCTCTTAAAAGGTAAAGACCAGCTCAGTACGTTTTGTGATTCTTGGGGCTGAACCAAGTGCTCTAACCCTAAGCCAAAGGATGAATGCACGTGCACGGCGCACGCACGCACACACACACACACACACACACACACACACACACACACACACATTTTTAAAGGTAAAATCATGGCGCTCATGCAAATAAACATATATCAAATATTTCATTTAACTCACTAATTAATCACATAGATAATAAAAAAGTTACAAGTAGTACAGAGGAAAAAGTCGTATCTGTACATCAAGAATAGATATGTATTCCAGAAGATAATACAGATTGCATGCTTATGGAAGCAGTCTTCTATGCTACTATATGACTTATGGAGCTGTGAATGTCTCCCAGAGATGTAAAAAATGCCAGGCCTTACAGAATCCTACAAGGTGTACCAGATAAAATATTCAATGTCTTACCCCCGCCCCCCCCCATCACCCACACACACTGGAGTCCATTTCAAAATCATTCACATTTTAAAAGTCAACATGGTAATGTGCTTTTATGAATTTTCAACAGTCAAATATTTTATCCATAAATACTTTTTCTCTTTTACTTTCTTTTTGGAACACTTCCTCCATGCCTTGGAGCAGGCATCAGTGCTCTGGACTCCAGCTAAGGTATAGCTGAGCTGTAAGCAGCTTTAGTGGGATTTACCGACAGCAGTTCACACAGTTTACTACTGGCCGGCCATTCTGGTGTAGGAAAAGAAATGGCTCCTATTAATGTTCCCTCCCACCCCTAGGCTCATCCACAAGCCATTCTTCAGCTAAAAGAGAACGGGGCCAGAATTCTTACCATGCCTGTGTGTCCCACAGCACCA